GGAAAAAAAAAAAAAAAAAAAAAAAACCAGAAAAAAAAACATTTCTTTTCAACAAGGTCTATTACAAGATGTGCTGGTTGGGAGCCCCAGATGCTCTATGTAATATCTGGTTTTGTTTAGATTAAATTCATTCATATCTGAGTCTTTTGTTGATACATGGTGAGAAATAGGCATTTAATAGGTCTGATTTATTGAGCCTCTACTGGCTTCTCTTCTCTGCTGATAAAGGGACTCACTCTGAAGATAACACCACTGTAAACGCTTAAAGTGGCATGGCAGCTGATGAGCACACTGTTTTCCAGAATGGGGTGGGGGTATATAAGAAAGCAGAAGATGGGCTTGAAATTCCCACTCTTCGTGCAAACAACTTGCATGAAGCAACATGCTAGAACAGCCTTGCCTGAAGGAGAAACAGATCCATAACAATACTGGAAGGGGTTAGTCTGTATCCCATCTGGTGCAGTTTGAATTTGATGCTGAGGGTGTTTTCAGTTGCATGTAGTTGAACTATTTTGTAGCTTTGCTCCTGTCAGATCCCATGTGCTGGGATCCCTTCCTGTTACTGTACCTTGTTCACCTTGTTTTACCCACAGCAGTAGGGTTTGAGTCAGAGGAGACTGTCCAGCTCTTAAGGTATCATCAGTGATGGAACTGATTTAATGTGATGGTTGGGAACAAAGAGTGCAGAGCACCTCACCTCTAATAGAAAGTTGCATTGGTGTATATATATGTAAGTAGCTTTGAACTGACTTTGGAATTGGGGGGCACCATAGTAGAAACCAGCTTCTCCTCACTTTGTTGATGGATGTGTGGTAGAGCAGATGCTAAATCCAGACACAAATTCCTGTCTTCAGCCTTCCCTAGACTTTGCTTGCTTTACAGTAAAGCTGCTGCAATGATGCTGGAACTGACATGCTGGCTTTACAGCCTGTTTTCTGAGAATCAAAGGCTCTTAAATGAATTCTTGAAATGAAGTAGAAGATGATCCCTTTTCTGCCCATCATTCCAGTCTGACCAGACATTTTTTTTTTCCAGAGCTGCTGTTCTTTTTCCTAATGAATTATATAATTTGGAAAGTAAATTGTATACCACTATCCTGATAGCTGTGCTAAACAGTCTGGACAAACAGAAGTGTTTAATCTCAAAACTTTTTAAGAAACTCTGCATCCAAATGACCAAGCATTTCCTGGAATTGTGTCCCAGATATATGATCTAGTAGATGTGCTCAGCACATGCTGCTCCTATATCAATGCAAGTACAGCTGTAGCTGTAATCTCCTTTAATTCGAAGTTCTGCAAAGCAGTTGCTATGTAGTGCTGGATTTCAAGACTTATTCCTTGTCTCTTGTTCTTCCCTTCCATTTAAATCAAAAGCTATTGCCAGCAGCACCACCTCAGACATGTGAAGCTATTGCAGTGGAACAACCAGGTGGCTGCATGTGTAAAGCTGCCTGATGGGAATAGCTGTTGAGTTTTGTGCTGGTTGTGGCACTGTGTGAGCAGCGAAGAGCTGAATCTCTGAAGTACAAAGGGTTGTAGGAAATGCAGAAGAGTCTTAAGTGAGGGAGGTGGTGTTTGCCCCTGGCAAATGCCAGCAGAAAGAGGCAGCTAGCAGCTCTCTGCTGCTTCTAGAAATCCAGGAAGGCTATCTATCTGCCAGGGGTTACATGATTGGCTCATGCTGCCTTTGCTGAGTACCAGCAGCTGAATTCTGCTGGGCCCTTAACAGCTTGCCTGGATATTGAAAAACATCTGCACTGTCTTTCCCTTGCTGTGCTCAATTGTTGCTACACCAGCCTTAGTGGTGCACAGGCTGAGGAGAGGAGAGACCTGGCCACAACTCCAACCTCTTAACATACTGTGGGGCAGTGCAGCCTCATCTGATGGCCTTAGGTCATAGTGGTCCTCCCTACATGGGGTAGGCAAAGAGCCTGGCTTTCTGCTGGGAGGCTGAATGTCGTGAGGAACAGGCTCACCGAGCAGGCTTTCCAACCCTGCATGGGTTGGTGTGCACAAGCTGAATTCTAGTCTAATGCAAACTTTGCCTGCTTGCTCCATCACAAGCATATCCACAGATGTCATAGTCTGTCATCAGATTAGGTCTTTGAGGTTTATATTGTGTCATCTTCCCTATGCTGATGGCCAGGGTCTGAGGTTCATTAATATCTGCTCTTGCTTCAACTATTATCCTTAGCTATCCTTAACTATCCTTAAGTTTTGATTTTAAACTTGTTTCTGATATATCATCTAAAGAAATTGTTGGCATCCAGAATTCATGAATGTGTTAGCTCTAACTCTGCTGTCATGGTTGTGTTTTTCAGGACTATCTTACTGAGTGTAATCTCTCTGCTTAATGAGCCAAACACATTCTCTCCTGCCAATGTGGATGCGTCAGTCATGTTCAGGAAATGGAGGGACAGTAAAGGAAAAGACAAGGAGTATGCTGAAATCATAAGGTAGGCTTTGCCATGCATGATGCTGTGTTACCATCCTCCTACTTTGAATCCTATGAAACGGGCTGCTTGGAGAATTTGCTGAAACCAGCTTCTTGCTGTGGTTGCTCTTTTTGAAATTAATTTTACAGTCTTATTCTAAGTCCATGCTTCTGGTCCCTCTAGGATTTTCAGCACACAGAAGTGATGGAGACTTCTGGAGTAGGAGGGACCAGGCTGACCTGTCTTTGAATTGTTCTTTTTTAGACTAATCTGGTATGATGCTCTGCAAAACCTATTGGCTGCTAGTAAATACCTGTCAAAGTCCCCGCTTGCCTTTGAGTGCTGCTTGCATTGCTTGGGATGTGATTCAAAGTGACTACATCCTACTAATTCTGTGCTCAATGCCCTCATGAATCATAATCTTGTCCCTCTAATTTGAAGGAATATCAGCAGGATTTGGCAAGTGTTTGCAAAGCCGGATTTGTTTAGCTGGAAGTACTGTTCAGTCTTGACCATCCTTTGCTGAGAAGTTCATGGTTCATCAGGCACTGTAGGAAGATGATGTAAACTTGAGCCAGGGTTGCTGTGGAGTAGTGGATGGGCAGCCCATACTGCAGTGGGATCACTGTCATACTTGCCTGGGGCAAGGCTACATCTGCATTGACTCCTCTAGCTGTGTGTGCAGGATATACCCCTGGTTGGAGCTATGCAGGGCAGTCAGTCATTGGCCTGAGCTGTGTAAAGAGCCTTGTTGGGAGGTTATCTTAATCATAGAATCATAGAATGGCTTAGGTTGGAAGGGACCCTAGAGATCATCTAATCCAATCTCTCTACCATGGGCAGGGATGCCTCTCAACTAGACTAGGTCACTCAAGGCCTCATCCAACCCGGCCTTTGATACCTCCAGGGACGGGGCATCCATAACCTCTCTGGGCAATCTAGTCCAGAGTATCGCCACCCTTGTACTGAAGAACTTCTTCTTAAGATCTAGTCTAAACCTCTACTCTGCCCTGGTGAGACCTCACCTGTAGTGCTGTGTCCAGCTCTGGAGTCCTCAGCACAGGAAAGACATGGACCTGTTAGAATGGATCCACCTCTCTTGATCTGCCAGCCACACTTCTTTTGATACAGCGCAGTACATGATTGGCCTTCTGGATCGCGAGTGCACTGTTGGCTCATGTCCAGCTTTTCATCCACCAGTACCCCCAAGTCCTTTTCTGCAGGGCTGCTTTCTATCACATCATCCCCCAGCCTGGATTGATACTGGGGGTTTCCCCTACCAAGGTGCAGGACCTTGCACTTGGCCTTGTGGAACCTCACGAGGTCCCAACACAGACCCCTGAGGGACACCACTTGTCACCCATCTCCATCTGCACATCGAGCCATTGACCACTACCCTCTGGATGTGACCATGCAAACAATTCCTTTGAAACAAAGAAATTAGACTCAACAGCAAGGGTTCTTTTGGTTTTGATTGGATATGAGGAAGAATTTCTTCACTGAGAGAGTGGTTAGGCATTGGAACAGCCTGCCCAGGGAGTTGGTGGAGTCACCATCCCTGGAGGTGTTCAAAAAAACTTGAGGCTATGTTTTAGTGGTAAGGGAAATGTTGGGATGAAGATTGGACTTGATGATCCTAGAGGTCCTTTCCAACCATAGTGATTCTATGATTATATGATTCTTAAAATATTCTTTATTTACAATGCTGGGGCAGAACTGGGGATTTTCCAGCATAGCTGCTCCCCCCCCAAGCATTCCAAAGGAGTTTATAGTTCATGTTTCCCAGGACAATTAACGTAGACACGCCCATATGCATGCCTATCTTGAAATCCCAGCGCACAAGTCCAGGCCTCTCTAAGGACCAGAGTAGAGGGCTATAATTCGACACTCCGCGGTCTCTTGCTGCCATCTCATGTCCTGTTGTCATTATCAGTCCTCTCAGCGGTTGTTTCCTTCCTCCAGTGGTTGTTCCATTATCTTCCTCACAGTATTTGCTAGTTGAGCTTTGGGCTTCCTTTGTCCATATATGGTCATAGAATTAGGTCATCCATCCTTGGCCCCAGAATTCTACAAGAGGGTTGGTTTAGACCAATTCTTGGGTGCTTATCTTGATCCAGGTGTCCTGAGTTCCTGCTATCAGTGATCTACTCAGGAAGCTTCACCAGCTATCTCACGTCCTGTTTAATCTTGTCAGGCCAGAAGTTACATGTGAGACATCTCATTGTCAATTCTACTCAGTAAATAACTAAGACCGTACAAACAAAGAGAAGAAAAAAAAAGAAGAAAATACAAGTAAAGCTTTTATGTATCACAGTAAGGTCTTAGAGATTGCCAGGGAGTCAGCCCTTTCACCTTATCCACTGAACAGTCCACCCATCGAACCCCTATCTCTCCAACTTAGAAAGGAGGATGTTATGGGGGATAGTGTCAAAGGCCTTGGTGAAGTCAAGATAGATGATGTCCACAGCTCTTCCCTTGTCCTCTGATGTAGTCACTCCATTGTAGAAAGCCACCAGATTGGTCAGGCAGGACTTGCCCCTGGTAAAGCCGTGCTGACTCTCCTGAATTACCTCCCTGTCCTCCATGTGCCTTATCATTTCTTCTAGGAGGATCTGTTCCATGATCTTCCCAGGCACAGAGGTGAGGCTGACAGGGCAGTAGTTCCCGGGATCCTTCTTTCTGCCCTTTTAAAAATGGGTGTGATGTTTCCTTTCTTCCAGTCACCTGGGGCTTCCCCGGACTGCCAGGATTTCTCAAATATCATGGAGAATGGCTTGGTAACTCCATCAGCCAATTCCCTAAGGACTCTGGGATGCATCTCATGAGGTCACATAGACTTATGTATGTTCAGGTTCCTCAGGTGGTTGAGAACCTTGTCTTCACTTAGAGTGGGAGGGGCTTTGTCCCCCGGGTCCCCATCTTGTGGTCCTTCCACTTGGGAGGTGTGAGGAGAGAGATTGCCAGTGAAGACCGAGTCAAAAAAAGTTGTTGATACCCTCAGGCTTCCCCTCGCCTGTTGTTACCAGTTTGCCTCTCACACTCATCGGGGGGAATGCTTGCTTTAACCTTCCTTTCCTGGATGACCTACCTGTAGAAGCCTTTCTGGTTATTCTTTGCATCCCTTGCCAAGTTCAAGTCCAGCCACACCTTGGCTTTCCTGACCTCATCCCTACCCAACTGGGCAGCATCCCTGTACTCTTCCCAAGATCCCTGTCCCTGCTGCCACTGCCTGTGCCGTTCCTTCTTGCCTTTTAGTTTGGCCAGCAGGTCTTGACTCAGCCATGCTGGGCTCTTCCCTTCCTTGCCCAGTTTCTTGCACCTGGGGATCATGAGCTCCCCTTGATCAGATGGCCTGTAGTAGACACCAACCACAGAGTTCCTCTTGTTGCCTCAGTCTCTAATTCCTTTCTATAAGCTCTCAGCTTGCTTTTGGCTATTCTTTGGGTACATCTCTTCACACTCTATCCATTTCCAAGTTTATCAATATCCAAGTCATCTTAGGAAATCCCTGAACATCCTTTCCATAACAAATGTAATGAAATTTGCTCTGAGCTTTGGCAGGTCTCTAATGTGGAGTTTTGTAGAATAACTGATTTCATATGTTGCTGAGATCATGTGTGGTGCAAACACCCTTGGAGTACTCTCAAGTCCAGGACTGCAGAACTAAATGTTTCTAGTGCTGCTCATGGTACTTCAGCCAAACATCAGCTCTCCTGACTTTGAGCTGCTAGGAGGGCTGGGCTGGGGCTGTCCAGGAGGTGGGGAGTTGAGGCATGCTGCTGCCAGCACATGGCCCTGCTCATGTTTGTATGTCCTCCTCCCTGCAGAAAACAGGTTTTGGCTACCAAAGCTGAGGCAGAAAAGGATGGCGTGAAGGTCCCCACTACACTGGCAGAGTACTGCATCAAAACTAAAGTGCCTTCCAATGACAACAGTTCAGATTTGCTTTATGACGACTTGTATGATGATGACATTGACGACGAAGACGAGGAGGAGGAGGATGCCGACTGTTACGATGATGATGATTCTGGCAATGAGGAGTCGTGACCTGCTCCTTCTATGCCCCGACTCAGGCCAGAAAGGAGCAGTGGTAAACTAGCAGCAGTCCAGCGGGGGGGTGGGGGAATATAAAAAAAAACTTTGACTCCTGCTGTCTCCTGTTGTATGGATCTGTTTGCTCCTTTTTTATGGACCTCTAGAGACCCTTTACAGGATGTCTGAATTCTTGCATTCTTAACCCTTTCATCACTGTATCATGATTTCTTTTTAAAAAAACAAACTCTCTTTTTCACTTCTCTATGAAATGCTCACAGCAAAACAGGTTTACTTGTGTTTAGATTCTTGAATTAAATACAGTCTTGCATTGAGTTGTTGAATATATTTAAAGCTGAAACAAATCCATTGGAAGCTGGATTTTAAGGAGCTCAAGTACTACATTTACTGGGAAAAAAAAACATCCACACAAAGCAAATTGCCATGGTTTAGCTGCTCCATTTACAATAATAGCATGTGTACATTTATTTAGCCTTGCGGTGGTCGCTTTTCCGGTATGGAGCAGAGAGTATAAAGCTACTGTGTGTTGGGTTTGATGGGATGTCACTGAAAGGTACAGTATTCCTTTTGAGCCTGCTCTAGTTAGGAAATAGCTGGCCCCTGGAGCCCCAGAGGGCACAATCAGCTTTGTCTCTGAAAAAGGCTTGTGATATGAACCCTAGAATAAAAACTTAACACTTCATGTCTATACAACCCTGGGTTACTATATATATTTTTTTTTTTTCAAACTAGGTTGGGGTTGAAAAAAAGTGAGTTTAACCATGCTCCTGAGGTCTGTTGCCAGTTGCCCTTCTCCTAAGGGAGGAGAATGGATGTGCATCCTGCTCCCCAGTGGGCCAGCATTGATCCCAAACTTGTTTTTTGGCAGTGGGAGAGACTGATAACCTCCTGCCCCAGTGCTTGCTAGCAGACCTTGCTTCCTGCAGCCCAAATCCAGTGCTGGCCTGAGCCTTCTTTCTGTTGCTTATGTAGGTCATATTGGTAAATGCAGCCCTGCTATAGCTCTGTGGGGTTGGCAGAAGTCAAAACTGCCTTTGATGCCTACATGAAGTGATCAGGCTGTCCCTGTGCCTGCAGTGGCTGCTGGGGCATGGGGCAGAGGCTCTCTTCTGGCTGTCAGGGGCATGAGTGAGTGTATGCAGCCCCACAGGAGAAGGATACATAGCACTTTCAGGCTGGAAGAGAAGGCCAGCAGCAGGGTTTAACAGGTTGTTCAGCAGAATGCTTCAGTTGGTGCACTGAGCTCAGCCTCTTGCATGTTTCTGGGAGCTCTTGGCAGAGCTTAGTGACCTCCCTTGTGGGCGAGGGAATCCTGCATGCTCGTGTCTGCAGAACCCTCTTCCTCAGTCCCTCAGCACCCACACCCTGTTGCAGTGTGCTCTTCTTGTTCGTCTGTGTTGCAGTGGCCTCAATTCATGTTTTGCATGATCCCTTGATCAGCAGCCAGTCCCACCCTCCTGTGCTGAGCCCTGGCACCTCTAGGAGCAGATCTGATTGGGTGAGACCCTTCATTCCCACAGGTAGAGAGGCACTTACCCTGATAAGAGCTGCAGGCTTTGACATTTGTTTATGCCTCCCCCCCTTTGTATCTCTCAGGGTTTTCAGTGGTATGTCACCAGCTGTGGTTTCTTGAGGGTTGCTTTGGTGGGAGTAAACTTTGTTCTGCAGTCAGCTTGGGGGCTCTGTGCTGGGAGCAGGATGAGTGAGCCAGCTCAAAGTGTACTGCCTGTAGGGAGAGGAGGGGAAGGCAGCCCCTGGGGAAGGAAGGAAGGCTGGTGGGGTGCTGTTCAAATTGAGCATAGCAGATGTGTTTTCAAAATGTTGCTTGACTGAGAATTTGCTGCAGCAGGGACAATCCCTGCTCTTCCGCCCTAGGGTGTGATGGCAATGCATCCCTCTAATCCCTGTGGCATAAGTGCAGACGAGGTGGTGCTACCTTGTCTCCCAGTGATGGGCTGCCCTCATGCTTGTATGTTACCTGGGGAGGCACCTGGACTCCCTCCTGAAATGTCCCACGTGGGTTTATCCTTCCAGCAAGGACTGACTCAGTCCTTAGTGCTTTTTGGCAGCAGGACTTCCCTGCATCTAGTGATAGTGTGGGGCACCCTCCAGCCCTGTCAAGGGAATTGGCAAATGGACACCCTCCCGTCTACAGGACTGATCTCAGGGCCACCAAGCTCCAGCTTGTGTGTGTGTGTGGGGGGGGGGGAGGTTGTTGAGTGAAGGAGCAGAGTATGGCTGTGCTGATTTGGTTTGAAACAATACTGCATCTTTCAGGATTTCCCTTGTACTTTTGACTGTCTTCATTGGCCTTCACTGTATACTCTTCAGTGACTTGTATTTTCATGCTTGGTGGTGTAAGAAGCATTATTATGCTGCTTCTGTTACCCTTTTTTAAAGACAAAAAAAAAAAAAAAGAAATTTATTTTGAAATTAACCAGACTAATTTCTTTTCCCCACTATCCTATGCAGTATCATTGCTTGGTTCCCTTTTTTTAAGACACAAACTGAACCATGAGGGTTGGTTTTGTGGGTGGGATTTTTTGTTTTGGGTTGGTTTTTTTTAACTATTTAAGAAATTGTGGAAAAATGTTTACCTGATTAGTGTAGTCTGTTTTGTTTTTTTTTTTTTTTTCCCTCCAATCTTTTTCTCCTGGCTCAGCAAATATTAGTGTTTACATTTGCAACTCTATGTCCCTTCAAACACAGCGTGGGTTTTTTTCAACGGTTCTGAAAACAGCAGAGTACATTAGATTTCTTAGTAGTTTTCTTAGCTGAAATCCCAGATTTTTCCTCCCCCCCCCAGTATAATTTACCAGAAAGAATTACCTGATGCATTTTTGTGTTGTCTTCCCCTTCAATAGTTATAGTTTGTCTTTTCTGCACCTGTCTACTAATAAAAATGTGAAATGACACTATCCCTACATTGTTACTTCCCTGTTAATTGAGCTGGTTTATTTGCATGGGTTATTTAAAGCTTTGAATAACGGCTCTTCACAAATTCAGTGCTCCTCCAGTAGCAATATCTGTAAGGTTACTGGAAAATAAAGCTGCTGATTGACAGCTGCTTACCTAACATTTTTAGAAAAGTAATTTGGCAGAAGGCCATGGGCTTTGCTGTTGTGTATTTAGTCTTCCCAAGTCAGCAAATGGGAGATCAGTTCACAGGGGTCATAGGATGGCAGTATGGATGCAGAACTGGGGGTAAAGCTGCTGCTGCCATGGGGCTGGGGTGCTGCTGGTTGCAGGTCCCCTGTCATGGCAGGAGCATAGCATTCTTGAAATGGTCAGACAAGGCAGAGGAGCTTGCTTACTGAGCCAGGGGCTTTGGCCTCATGCAGAAGGCTGGCAGAGGAATTGAGGTAATTGCTGCCAATCAACCCTTCAGTATGCTTGCTCTGCCTAGCCTATTCCCTGGAAGCTCAAGAATGGAGCAGTTTGTTTTTGCAATGCCTTGCTACTCCAGTCAAGCTGAAATTAGCAGGACAAGTATACAGGTGTTGCACTTGCTGCATTTTTAACTTTGTTTGCAGTGCAACAACTGCCAAATCAAATGTGGTTGTGGTCTGAGTGCTTTGGCTTCACTGTTGTATTGGAGGAATGGTGATGGCATTTCAGAGCTGTAGTCCCAGAGAAGTCTCCATATTCATGAATGGGACCAAGAGGGACAGTGCTGTCTGGGCCTTCTGCCAGGGATCATGCTTGCTTGTATCTCCTGCCTGGCTCCCACAGCACCAGAGCTGCCAGTAGCTTAGTCACCCAGTGGTACCAACCCCAGGACAAACACTCCAGCCTGCCGTGGCTGACACTTTTGCAGGGTTGATTTTAATTTTGGTTTTTTGGTTTGGTTTTTCACCTCCTCTTGATGGCCAAGTGCAGTTGAGGAATCATGGCTCTACCATAAGACTGATGTATAAGGGATTAGAGAGGAAATTGCTGCAAAAGAGCCCTGCTAGAGCCAACAGTG